GGGGGGGGGTTAAAATCCCGTTCGTTCTTGCCGACCCATTAGTCATTAGCCAAACACCCACCGATCGCTCAGTGGCGCCAGTCCTCTCCTCCTTGCACTCCCCGGGCGCGCGCGCACGCACGCACGCACGCACGCACGCACGCACGCACGCACATGCCCAACAACACGTCCGGAAGCAATCTCTGCTCGGCAGCACCGCCAGTGGCGCCGTGTCTACTACCTCAAGAGAGTATCGCAGTGGCAGCTCCAGCCGCCAGGGACGTCCAGGGGACGCTGGACAACACCTTCCTCCCCACCGGAAGGACGACCCCGCCGCCGGCCCGACGCCGCCCTGGTCAAACGCCACGGTCCATGACGTCGCGGCCGCCCCCGCGCCGCAGCTGTCGCCGGGCTGGACGCACGGCAGCTCGACGGCAGCTCCCCCCGGCGGCGGCTCCGCGGCCAGCTCCGGGCGTACTCCTGAAAACGGGTTCCAGACAAAGGCCTGGCTGTGCGCGCTCCGGCGGCGACCCCAGCCCAGCTCCAGCGCCGGCAGGGCGGGGCGGGGCGGGGCGGGGCGGGGCAGAGCACGTGAGAGTGCCAACGGAATGCGGGAGGTCCGTCACCTCGCAATCATGCTCCGGGGCTCCAGCTCCGGCGGCTCCAGGGGCGGCTCCAGGGGCGGCTCCGGCGGGAGTCCCGAGAAGGGCGGCCAGGGGCGCCTTGCGCTCGAGCACACCAAGCTCCGCACCACCCCATCCCCTCACGCTCCCCGTACAAGACACCTGCCAGTGAAAATAAACACGACGGAGCGAGGGTAGCTTATTAGCTGAAAATTGTCTTTTGTGTGTTGGGCTGGAGCATCGGTACGGCTAGGTTGAAGCGCCCTCTTCCTCATCCTTGGGCTTTACAGATCCGAGAATCTTGGGGAACGACTAAAAACGACACCCTGGCCGACACCCTGTCGATGGTGAGGTGTAGTCTGCGACCGGGTGGAGTGGGTGGGAGCAACTGCTGGACGGTGAAGCCCAGACTTTACTAGAAGGCATTGACATTGGCGCACGGTGCCCAGGCTTGCCCAGCCCAGCCTAGCCGTGGGAAAATGCTCTTCCCCGAGCCCCCGTTCTCGACTGTGTTCTGCTCAAGTCCATTGACACCTTCCTTTCCCGAGCTTGACTAACACCGTCTTCGTAAACTGCACTCGGATCCAGACATTAAGGGTGTTAATAAAGACGCATGCTGTTTCCAGGGAATTGGTTTATTCCGCGTTCCTAACATTAAGTCAGCGGTTTACCTTACCGTAGGCCGTTTTCTTTACAGTTCATTAAAACAACAAAAATATGGCACAAACTGCGATTGGCAAGCCGCCTGTAAATTATCAAAGAGTGTCCGTAATCAAATTAGAAAAATAACTAGTCTGTACAGTTAAGTACATGTGCACAAATGCCACAATGTTAAGGAAAATAAGAGAAAAAACAAACAAGAAAAAATAAGCTTATGAGAATCAATACACTTAATGACAACAATGAAAATGAGTTAAAATTAACTACCGGTATTTACAAAAACCAATTGAGAAAGGAACATTTTAAGATTTGAGCACAAATTTTCAAATCTGAGAAGCCAAAAAATTTACATGTTACCGTCCTAACTTAAATTAATACTTAGTATCTCAGGCATTTTGATTGAGGAGAAAACATTTAAACAGCCTAGGAAGGTACAACGTGCTTCACTAATTCACAGTGGAAAATTGAACAGCACACAAGCATAAGGTAGAGGTATCACACAGGTTCAGGAAAAAGTAAAATTAGATGACGTACACTAAATGCAGGTAGTTTGAAGTCAGTTCTTTTTCAAACAAGTCTCCGTAAGAGAAATTATGACAATTACTGAGGAGAGACTATGACAAAGCTGCTTTAATCATATAACGCTCCATAATTAAACTAACATAATAACAAACATACTAAAATATAAAACATCAGGTTCCCTTCAACCTGGAACCATTTAAACTAACATTTCACAGTGAACTTTGAACAGTTCTCCGACATGGCAGTTACGGATTTAGAATTACCCTTTAACCGGACCCAAAAAGTGGGAAGAAGCGCATTTTGATTAAACGACATCAACAGGTAGGGTCATACACATGTACATAACAATAAGATAATGGTTTTCTATACCTGCCATGTGAAGTGAGGGCAAACAAAAATCAACTGTCAGTAGATAGATAAATAACAACCTCGCATAATTAATGTTCAAGTTTCTAGTAGAAGCAAGACAAAGATTAACAGAATGTCTTTCATACAAAGAGGAGGCAGTAAATAATACAATTCATTTGAATACCGCTGCAGTTTAAGGCAATCAACAGAAAAGAATGCAACCAAAACAAAAGTGAAATGGCTCAACACACCACTCTCTTTGGTTTAAAATTATCTAGAGGAATGTACAACTAGAGCTATACTTCTGAGACCGGTATTTACCACTTCTATCAGCATAGGCTGCTTTAATGTCTTAAGTTAAAATCCTCATATCTAAACAGTCACAACGGAGGCTAATTTCATTCACAGCAGAATGGGAGAGATTTACCAAAGAAAGTTCAAAGAAGGGTACAAACTAAAAGTTAGGCTTTGATGAAGAGCCAGCATGAAAAACAAAGCCAAAAACTGTATGTTGAACCAATCTATATGAAATCTACAATCTAACATTAGTGCAGCAAACTTTCAACACTTAATCATAAGAGTGCAAGGACCCTAGGTAATTTTTAAAAAGCCAAAATCAACAATTACATGTAGAGATGATAGTACGTTAGGATGGCTACAAACTATGACATTCAAATAAGGGTAATTACATTTGCAGTATACATGGTAAGACCTTAGTACCATAGAAGTGTGATTGAGAATACACTAGTTTCTAATTTGATTATAATCACCAGAACATCATGGACGAGAAAAATGTTACATAGTGGTACATCTCTCAAAAAAATCTACATCATCATTAATCCTCTACCATCTGGCAGTAACAAAGAGATAAAATTAAAAAAAATAGTTAAGGTACAGAAAAAAATAAGGAAAACTAAATGAGTACTTGAGAATAAGTCATAGAGAAGAAGACACTCATAATTGATAAAAGTATCCTAGCTTAAGTGGAGCATGGCTCCTCCAGTCAGTGCTCATTATCCTATATCACACATCATTAAAGCATTTGGATGAAAGAGCGAAAAGATCACCATGGCACTCTTGCCATTCTACTAGTCAATATTGAACGGTAACAAACTAAATCAGTCATTGCCACAATACCGTAGCAGAAGGCAAGAGTGGGTAACTCAGCCACGGGGCGGGGTGCAAGTCCCACAGAAAGACAACTATGGGCCAAAGGGGACCTGTGATCCCAACAGGCACGACACCTGCAAACCTCCACCGAGGGCTGGCCAACCGCGGAGCAACTCTTGCCAAGGCACATTCGGCATTTTATTACAACCATTATTATTTAAAGTCTGCTAAATAATAACACAGCTCGTGAGGAGGTATAAATATCACACAAGAAAAGTAGCCGAAAGGCAAGGCTCTGTTGGCCAACCCGCGTCGGTGCAATGCCATGTCGGTGCACCTCGATCAGAATCACAGACTCTTTGGCAGCACCAGCTCCGCCCTGGACTGACTGGACAGTGCACACTGTGCTCGCTGGGCGCGGGGCGCGCGGGGCGTCAGGGCCGTGGGCGTGCCGCACGGAGGGTTTCAGGGCCTACACGACCTAGGGGGCTAAGTTACTAAAGGAACTTCAAACTCCTAGCGTTGCCGCCTTCACGAGGACAGAGACCCAGGGGCACCCCCTCTATTGCTTTCTCTCTCTCTCTCTCAATGCCTTGCGAGGCGGCGCTACAGCTATCCAATGCCTCTCTCCCTTGCTCCTCAACCCAAGTTGGCCCAGCGCATGAAGTCGGGCAGTTCCCGGACGGGGACGTCCCTCGAGAGCGCCTTGACGCGGAGGTTGCGGTCGTCCGTCAGCAGCACCACGTCGCGCACCAGACGGCGCGGCTCACCTGCGGCAGAAAAAACACGGGCATGAGCAAGAGTTGCCTTCGCACGTCGAGAGCGGACCTACAGCGGACAACCGCCCCGCCGACGAGTACCTACCAGGTTTCACTTCATCCTTGCTCGTCGTGCGACTCAGATTAAGACACGTGGTCAGAATCTTGTCATCGTTCAGCATGTCCTGCTGGCCGTCGTCCTCCGACGAGAAGGTCGCCGAGGCCAGCGTCGAGCCGCGGGTGGTGACACAGCGCAGGCTCGGGGGCCGGGGCCGCTGCTGCAGGAAGGCCAGGGCCTCCTTGGCGCTGCGCGCGACGCGCTCGGCGCGGGCGGCGGCGGCCGCGTCCACGGTCTCGCCGGGACGGGCGCCCCGCTGCAGACCCTCGAGCTCGCCGACGACTGTTTCACACGAAAATAATGAAATTAAATGAATGTGTTGAAACAGAAACTATAGAGAGACAAATCAGACGGGGTGAGCAGTATAGTGGCGGAGGGCAGGAGGGGTACTTACCGACGGTGGGGACCATCAGCTGGAACGTCTGTCCGCAAGCGATGAGCTTCAGGTGGGGCAGGTGGTCCACGAAGCAGTTGGTGTCCGGCACAATGAAGTGCGGCCGCACCTCGATCTCCACCTCCACAGCCGACTGCCGGATTATGTCCTGGGGACACAGCAGCAGACGCACACATTGAGCGGCCTCGTCCACTCGAGAGCGACGCGAGCCCGTCCACGTCAACCCGATCGTGCACGAACCACGTGACTTTCGAGAGGGAGGGTCCAAATATTGTGGGATTTCAAGACGGTCATTGGAGTCCGTAGGCACTCCATGATATGTGTACCCCAGGGTAAAAATACCATGGGGTCACTGGTCACTTTGGACTCCAATCACCGTCCTCAACCTTTAGGGTCCCCACAATATTTGGACCCCCTCCCCTTTTTCCGAAAGCACGGCCTCTCCGTGTGCAAAAGTCACGCGGTTTGGGCACGATCCCTTACCTGCACGCGCTTGCGGTGGCGTTCCTGCTGGCGGCGGTGCCGCTCGAGCTGCTCCTTGCGCGCTAGCAGCGCGCGCACCTCGTCCGCCGTCGCGTCCGCGGCCGGGGTCAGCTCGTCCTCCTTGTCCTGCAGCCCGTCCTGCTCCTCCTCCAGGTCCACGTCCAGGTCCAGGTCCGCGTCGCTCAGCGAGTCGGCCGGGCTGGCGCTGGCCGCCGCCGGGGCCTGCTTGTGCTGGTGGCGGTAGGGAGGGCGCGCGGCAACGGAGATGTACTCGCTACGCCCGGTCTCGTCCTTGTGCAGGCGCAACACGGGAGGGTCAATACCGCAGAGGAACGTGTGACCGAAGAAGAGCAGCCGCTTGAGCCGGGCGCACACGTGCACGAGCTCGGGGTCCAGGTCTCGGTCCGCGTACAGCGGCTCCTGCATCAGCGTCATGAGGGGCATGAAGCCCGCCAGCGTCATGTCCTCCGGCAGCCGCACCTGAAACAGCGCCAGCGTCAACATCAGGGTCAGTCCAAGGGATACGTCACTTTTAAAATATCAGAAAAATTCAATTAAAATAAAAAGAGAGAGAAAATCAGAATTAAAAAAAAAACAATGAGGAAAAAACCTCAGGCCAACCCTACGGGTGGGCGGGCAGCTCACCTGGATGTAGCCCTCCACGGGTTTCTCCTCGATCTTGGCGCGATTCACGTCCAGCGTCTCCAGCATGTTGACGAGGCCGGCGAGCCGGGACCACGTGTCGCCGGGCGGCCCCACGTGGTAGTCGGCCGCGTTGGGCGGCGGGTTCCAGACGTGCTCGTGGCACGTCAGCCAGTCGCACCAGATCTTGATGGCGGGCAGCAGGGCGACCACGTCCAGGTCGACGAGCTGGTCGCGGGGCGCGGCGCCCGGGCCGCCCTGGTCGCGCAGCAGCGCCACGCACCGCTCCAGCAGCACCGAGAACATCTGCAGCGACACGATGAGGGCCGCCTCCTGCGCGGCCGAGCGGTAGCCCGCCTCCTCCTCCTCGGCTGCGGACAGACAGACACACGGCCTTTAGCCGGTAACAACCAACCCCTCGACGGCTAACCACCGGGTTTACGCCCCGGTACGCACGGCGACGCACAGTCGCACACGGATGGCCAGCGGCCTCGTCACGCCAGCAGCGCGCGTCTCGCAAAAACAATTAGCCGGCCGCGGGCGGCAGCAGGCCAGGACCCCGGGCGCTAATGGCCCCCGGGGCAGAGCTGGCCGCGTGTATGTGTGAATAAAAATACACACACGCACGCACGCCCCGAGTGTGTGCGTGCGTGCGTGTGGCTCCGCAGGGCACCGGACCCAGGACGACGACGTGGCGTGCAGCGGCGGCAGCAGCAGCGCAGTTGCTCCTCCGTCAATCAAATCGAAAATAACGCTTCCCTCCCGCAGGATACATAAAAGAAGTTGAGACGGAGACGCCAGGCAACCGGGCAAGACCACTCCCCCCCCCCCCCCCCCCCCCTCTCTCTCCTCCCCCCCCCACCCCCCCCCCCCCCCCTCCCCCCTCTTCTTCTTCCCCGCGGAGCGCACATTCCTTCGCCTCGCCCTTGCTCCTGCATCATCGCTTCATTTCACGACAAAGTGCTGCGCCGCCCGCGCCCGCCCGCCGCAACGGACAAGGACCAAGGACCAGCATCATCTCCTTCTCCGACGAAAAAATTACTCGTCCCGGCCACCCACCTGGGCAAGCGCAAGGCGGAACATGCAATATTCAACAACTGATTCGTACTGGCTAGTCAAACAGCCAAAACGACAAATACCCCTCTGGCAGATTGCTCGTTTCCTTGGGTCGGAAAAATGGGGAGGGGGGGATGAGCCTTGTTACATAATACGGCAAAGCCAGCTGACGCGGACACAGCACGATACCATATCATCCACGTCTGACGTGCTACGTCAAAAAGTCAACAAGTGTCGGCTGTCGGCAGCAGGCGCGGAGCAGCGCACGGCGAGGCGAGGAGCACTGCACTCTGCCTGCAGCAGGGGCTCCAGCAGCAGCAGGAGCAGCAGCAGGAGCAGCAGCAGGAGCAGCAGCAGGAGCAGCAGCAGTGTGCAGACCTGCAGGGGGGCTGCAGGGGGTGGGGCGGAGCACGGCAGGCAGCACGGCGCAGCGCGGCTCAGCCATTGCTGCGAGCGGACGGCAACCTTGTCAAGGTCGCTGCCGGCCGGGGGGCCGGGGCCGCCGGAGTCGGAGCAGCGCGCCGGAGCGGGTCGTCGACCCCGCGCCGCAGCGCAGACCGCATCGTAGCCGTGACCGCCGCGGTGGCAGGCCGCGGCAGCAGAGCAGCGGGCTCCGGAAAGCCGATTCCAGGCATGTCAAGTCCACTCGACGAGCTCCTCCTCCAGCAGCAGCAGGTGACCCGGGCCCGCAGTGCCGGGGCCGAGCATTCGGCCCTGGGGATCTGCATCGGCCGGCCGGGTCTGCTGGACCGCCCGACGGACCTACAAAGAGTCGCGGGACCCTAATCTACCCGAAATTGGTGGGAGGTGAAAGATGTAGGGGGCGAGCTTGGGGGCGAGTTACCGGGGGAGGAGGCACCACCGCGCGGCGCGCTCTCTCCGCAGCGGAGCGCCTGCCGGGTAGGCCGCTGGCAGCAGACGCGCGCAGGCGTGCTCGGCGGGGTTGCCTACCCCGCGCGCGCCAGGCGCCCCGCCTGGCCCGGGGGCCCCGTCTGCGGGGGGGCCTGTCTGTGAACCCCACTGACGCGCAGTCCCGGGGCTGACACGTCGCCGGGCCGGGCAGAGCGGCGCGCTCACGCACGTCAGGGCGGCGGCGCGGGTGGCGGGCGCGGCGACCCCCTGGGCGGCACCAGCAACATGAGGGCCTCGACCTCCACGACACAACAAAGGTGCTCTCGGCGTTGTTAAACACGGCGCTACTAGTCCCTCCAGACTGAGCGCATAGGGCGCCCACGGCCACCGGGTGGAGGCCGAGGTGCTCGCGGGAAGGGCAACGACCTCTGGGCGCACGCTGCTGCTGCTGCTGCAAGATACTTCGCCTCCTCCTCCTCCTCCTCCTCGGCAAGCTGATGAGCGCCGGCAGCGAGGACGACGCCATCTGGCGGGCCGCGGGCGGGGCGGACCGCGCTGGCCTTAATCGAAACACACGCTCGCAGTCGCAGTACGGCACACCTCGCCCCGCGGCCCGGGCCGGCCCCGCGTGGCTCCCCGCGGCCAGGGCCTGCATGAGCCGCCATGGGCCGCCATGGGCCGTCCGCCGTGGGACGCCACGCGGGCCGCGTAGGCTCCGCTCTTTCGCCATTAATCAACAAGAGAAGAAAATGAAAGCTCTGAGCCGAGCCGAGCAAAGCAAAGGCCCGGCGGGGCGGGGCCGGCTCAGGGGCGCCCAGCGGTGGTCCACACTTCAGCACCCACGTCCAGCGACTGGCTGACAGCAGGAAGGGAGAGACCGAAGAGAAAATTTCACTCAATGCGAACAACACGACTCTCTCCGGGAGAAGCATATTGTCTTCGAAGTTGCAAAAAAACTATTTGCAAAACGCTCAAAACACACACACAAAGGAAGATGGTATTTTACCTTATTAATGGGAATACAATTAATCGAAACTCACGCCGAGCTCGCGGTATAATACCGATGCCCGAAGGAAGTGGAGGAAGAGCAACAAAATTTAAAACACTTTGGTCTGAATCCCTGCTGCACCGCGGGGCGCACCGCGCGCACACACACACACAGGTCGGAGGCCCTGCCGGCGCCACGCCCCCCCCCCCCCCATTTTCCTCTCTGCGCGGACCGTTGCAGTAGACGGTGCATTAGTCTGATTGATGCCACATGCCACATTCCTGCGCGGATGCTGGGCAACACGAGGCTCACCCACCGCCGCGAACCCAAATTTAAAAAATGAGAGAAGCATAGGAAGAAGAAGAAGAAACGAAAGGGCTATTATCCTCCAGCAGCTGACGATTTGGCGATCGCAAAAAATAAAAATAAAGATGAATAAATATTCGAGCAAGGAAGAGCGGGCGGTAAGGGAGGGGGCGCGTGCCTCGAGCGGAGTACGGCGTCGTACGGTCGCGCGAAGGACCGCTCTGTCCGCTCTATCCTATATCCGCTTACTAGACGTGAACATGTCAAACAATGAACCTCTGGGCCAGGCTGGTGGGTCTGGGTTGGTCAAGGGTGGGTAGGGGGCGCGGGTACGGGGTGAAGTGGAGAAGGTCGCAGTCTCGCGAGGAGCCTCCCGAGTAGCCTCCAGCGCAGCCTGCGCAGCGCTGGTAGGAGCCGTCAGAGCAGGGCTGATTAGCGGGATGGCCCGAGCGGCCAGAGACCGAGACCCGTTTGAGCTCCCGGGGCCACTTTTATGACTGGATACATCACCGCACTTCGACGCACTCTCGCGCGGCAGCGTCAAGGGGAAGGGAGGCGGAGGGCACGGGCAAAAACAATAACAACAGTGGAGAGAAAGAAAAGGAATAAAAAAGGCCGTCGGCGCCACCGGTGTTTGAACCCTTGACGGACGACGCGCGCCGTAACGAGTGCGGCTGGGTACTTTACGACGCCATATCGCGGCGCATCCTCACCCGTCCCCCTCTACCCCGGACAACTGGGCCGAGTCGTCAAAATGTCCTGACAAACAAGCAGCATCGGACACCGCAAAGGCTTCTCCTCCTCCCCCGCCCCCTTGTCTCTCTCTCTCTCCTTGTACCCGAGATAAGCAAACAGAGACTTAAACGCGACTTTGCGGGACCAGAGAGGCGGCGGTGGAACCGGACGGCAACCGAGCGAGCGAGGTATGTGGAGTGTGGAAAACGGCACGGGGTGGCTCCCACGCCCCCGGTGAGGAAGCAGGCGAGGAAGGGAGGGGGGGAGGGGAATGGCCACTCTTGCCCATGCCCACCCCACCACTATGTCGTCGAAGTCCTCATCGTCCTCGCTGTCGTCGTCCTCTTTGCTCCTCGCCGTCGTCGTCGACACCCTCATCCTCGGATCGGTTTTGATGCGCGGCTATCAATTCTCCCACCGGCGCGGCACCATCGTCCCAACGCGCGGGCGTGGCGGAGCCGGCCCCGGGCCGCCTAGCTAGCTTAGCCTTGACCCACATCGGCTCGGACCGGCCCGGGCACAAGTTCGACACAGGTATGCGAGAGTCCGGGCCGCGCCGTGACGTGAGGAGGCGCTACTGTCGGACGGGGACGCAGGTGGGTGCTACGTGAGGGATCACGGCGGGACGGACGAAACCAGACGGGGCTTTGAGCCACCACCCGCGGGGTCAGCCCTTGGATTGGAAGCCGCCTGAAAGGTTGGCAAGGTTGGCAGTACTGTACAAAGCCCCTGTATGTTGGTGTGGGCTACCGAGCCCCACCCAAACCTTCGGCTACCACGGGTCGGCAAGAGAGCGAACACGCCTGGACAATGTAGCACGTTCTCGACCCTCCTAGGCGCAAGCCTACACACGGAGGACGGGTTCCACCCTCCTGGCCCACAAGAAGAGACGATTTGTTCGATCCTGCCGACGAGTTCGTACTTTCTCTGCACACGTTTTCTTTTAACTCTGCACTCCTCTTAGCCCCCCCCCCCCAACATCCACAAAAAAAACTCATCAAAGACCGCCGCACAGCACCGCCCGCCCGAATAAATAAATTACTTCATTTATCAGACGAGCCAAGCCGACTTGGCTGCTTGCAGCAATATGTAGCGCGGCATTAGCATCACTAGGAAACCGGGGGGGGGGGGGGGGCACGGCGTCGTGCGGAGTGGCGCCGCCCCGGCCGCCTGCAGCCTGCAGATGCCAGGCCCAGGCTCCAGGTCCAGCCGCATGGCTTCGCGACTGGAGGGAGGTCCTCGAGTCTCTGGAGCGATCAACAAGGGTCGGCGCCAGGACGCGCCGACCGCCCCAGCCAGCGAGCTAAAAATAGCACCACCGGCCTGGGCAGCGGCGGGGCGGGGCGGGGCGGGGCGCAACACCTTGCCCCACCCCGCCCCGTCGCGACAGGACGCGTCCGTCCGGTTTGCGTCCTCGCGAGCCTCTCGCTTCCTTCACACGGTTCTCCGGCCTTTTCAAACAGTGGAGTTTAGAGCGCAAAACCACAAGGAGGCTGTAAACAGCAAATAAAACAGGGGAAGACGGACGGACGGACGAGCGGGCGGGCGGGAGAGAAAGAAAGAGAGAGAATCGCCAATGCCGAGATGATTCCAGATAACGAAATGTCTGCTGAAATGCGCAGCGCAGCGATGTTCCGCGGTCAGTGGCGAGGAGTGAGACGGAGCCCCTCGGCGTGTCGTCGTTCCCGCGTCGCCTTTTCCGATCCGGCGGAGTCCCAGACGGATCGTAAATGCGATGAGCACGCGGGTAAAACAGCTGTGCGTGGGCCACTAAAGCGCGAGCGTGGGGAGCGCGGGGCGCTGGGGAGACTAACTACCCCCCGGGTACCCGCCCGAGCCGTGGCACGAATGAGCCGCCCCGCCCCGCCCACTGACACCGAGACTACTTTCGCGGGCCGAACGGCAGGGGCGGCCTGCGGGGGGCCAGGCCGGGCCGGGCCAGCACTGGCAGGTTTGTAAGTGGCTCTGCTCACTACCGCAGGGCTGACCCGGCTCACCTCTCCTCTGTACAAAGTGGCACGCACCGGCGCCGCCTGGCACATTTGGAGCAAACGCCAGTCACAGGTCCAGAGTGTATCTCACTCCCTCCCACCACCACCTCCACTTTCCCTTCCTCCTTTTCCTTTCTTCCCCCCTGCAGAAACTTCTGAACAGCTCAGTGAATAAATGTTGCTCACCTTTTAGCTGAGTGTTCTCAATGGCGAACATATTTAGCGCCAGCAGTTGGAGGAAGCGATTGGCATTCAATGGGATGGGAGTATGCTGCAGCAGTGCGTGGAACTCTTTCAACATCTGAACAGCGGCTTCTTGGAAAGTCTCCATGCTGAAATAAAGGAACATTTGGTTGGAGGAAAAAAGAGATAAACAAATCCACATGTAAGATGTGAAACTTTGCTGAAACTTACCCAACTTTTGTGAAAAGTTTCCCATGAATGTGCATGAAGCTCATCACAAATCGCTTGTTGAGCTGAAAATTGTTTTCAAACAGCAACAATAAATTTAAGTTCAAACTCACACAACTTCAACTTGGTCTGTCTCCTAAAAGTACATACATCCACACTGCTCAACTTGGCAAGCTCTTCTTCAGTATCACTGTGATCGGGACGCACGGTATTTGATGTTGTCCTGCTTACTCGTTGACCATTGTTTGGATGATGCCAAACTTCTCGTCTGAGACTGGGTGGGCCACCACCTTCCTTCTCCAACATCCGCGACCTCTCTTTAGCTTCTCGCTCTTCTCTCCTTTTCTTCTCTGTCTGCTCGTACTGTAAAACAAAATGAAATTGGTGTGAGTTGAGTCACAGATTGTTTCTACTTGTAACAAAGTTTTTGATACTTCATCATAATTCAATGCATCTAGACACTAAAAAACAGTACACATCTTACAATTATCTACGAGTAAGGCAAATACTGTATAAACAAATATATGAGAGTCAAATAAGAAACAAAGAAAACTTGAAGAGCACACTGAACTTCACATTCTCTCTTTGACAAGCATCATTCACCTTATTTCAAAGTATATTTACTTCTTATGAGATAAAAAATTTACGATGCTGCATCTAAACCATTGACTCAAACATCAATCTAAAGACGTGCATTACCCAGTTCACCAAATATTCAACTTGTCTGGTAATTATAGTAATGCATCCCAAACCCATAACGGTGGTTAAAATAACATTGAAGACAAAGTTTGACCCAATAAATGTAAACAATCAAAAGCCATTCATTCCTTCATGCATCTATTTCCCCCTTATCACTTAGGGCACCCATAGAGGTAGATAGATAATTTAATATTCTCAGTTTGATGTACCTAGTGTCCAGACTAAGACATGCTAGTATTGCTAGTACGTTGGGTTGCCTATGCACTGGCTGCAGGCGCGGGAGGATGGCAGGAGGGTGGTAGTGGTGGTAAGGTGTAATTAAGGTGAATTACACCTTAAGTTCTGGGGGAGCTGCCACTCCTTCGCCACCCGCCCCGCGCCTGCAGCCCGTGCAGCCAGTGCATAGGCAACTTAACTTACTGGCATGCCTTAGCCTCGACACCCGGTATATATAGATAGAACATATATTCTACAACTGGCAAAAGCATCTTCTTGACACAAGTTGAAAGAGAACCAATGAACTGTACTGCTCTGACACAAGAAAGAAGAAATTTGCCTAGGTAACACCAACATGCAAAACACATCCTTGACAAAATCAAACAAGTAGAGCAACAGCAGTATTTGAAAAACTTAAACCAGCATATATACAGAGCAAAGGGGCTACAGGACAAGCAACACACAGGAAGAGTGACCAGGCATGTGACAGGGTAAGGCATCTCACCTGGAGCTGGTCACAAGGAAAGCAAAAGAAAAAAAAAATCATTTTTTAAAATTAAAAGTGTGGATTGATTAAATTAACAAGTGGAATACCATTATTGATAGTAAAAAGGTACACATTTGTCAGATATAAGGGAAATAATTTAGACAAAAACTATGTAGGAGTGGAAAATGGAGATAACAAACAAATATGCCAGGGAAAATAGTTGGAAATAGGACTACCGGTAGATGTTCAAAGTACAAAATGGTAAGAGTATAATGAATGTAAGTAAAGAGGAATAATGAAGGAACCAGTTTTGAAAAGCACACTGGGTTAGTAATAAACCAGGAATACACAGAAAATAATGTAACCACTGAGCAAGGAAAGTACAGTATATGAAGATTAAGATTAGAAAACTTCACATATAAGCACATTAAACACTGTTCATGTTAAGTGCTCATGCACAAAGGTTGGTTTGGTTTAAAGGTATTTAATGCTGCAAACCATACAGGCACATTAGAATAATGAAAAATGGGACTAAAACATCCATTAGAAAATATGATACCAGAAACAAGCATGCTCACACCCTAAAAGGCATGAGAAGGGAAGGCTCAAATAAAAATAGGGAAAAAAAAGTGTGTTATTAATTTGGGGCCAAGTTTAAAGAAACATAATAGTGAAGATGAAGAAAACATCACCATAGCTATCCACATATAAAGTAAACAGACACCGTTACTGAGAAAACTCCTGAAGGTCCCTTCTGAAATATTTTGTTAAGAAATGCACGAGGGCAATAGTAGCTTGTAGGTTGTGTTGTGAAAAACACAATCCACAAAATATCATTGCCCACGCGCCAGTCACTGAACATCCAACAAACCAATGAAAAATGAAATGATTTCTTACCTTCTTGCGATTTTCATCAAAGAGAGAGAGCAGATTTTCTCGAGCTGTGTGCACAACAAAATTGGATGCCATAAGTCCTCGCATGTAATAGTAGACAGCATCAATTTTCCTCCTCTGGACCAAGACAACAAAAGAGCAATAAAATAATGGTTAAACATTACCAAAATGTATCAAGTAATGCAAACTACAAAAGGATATTGAGACTTACCGCATACACTGCTAGAATGGCTAGCTGATTGTAGGGCCGTCCACTTTTAGGATTAATTTGGTGTGCTTTCAGATACCACCTGCACAGAGAAGAAACAAAACAAGAAGAGCATCAGGGCATCAAACATATTTGATACATTAGGAGAAACCTCGTTCTTTACCCAAGTTTGGTCTGGTGTGATTATGAAATGAAAACAGAAAGATCATTGTTGTGAATGACCGCTCTTCAAAACTTTTCGCGCCGACGCAGTTTTAGCTTTTCTCAATAGATGGCGCTGTTCGCGCATGCGCTTGATTGTTTTTTTCGTGTTAGAAGAATTTCATTTGAGATAGGTTTTATTCATTATGAGAACCAAAAAAGGTTATAATATGATTGTTTTAAGTTGAAACATTAACGGCTAGCCTACTTTTAGTTGTTTAGCCAAATTTTTTCAGGTAAAACTTATCTCTATTAAGATATTTGTCCGTGTAGAAAAACCATCCGAAACGCACGCTCGACCGGCGATTTTTTCGACCTTATTTCTGAAATTTCTTTAAATTTTGCGTAATAAACCGAAAAAAACGTCTATTATGGATTGGTGAGGCCGCCAAGACCTACAGTTTGATACAACTGGCATAGTTGTAGGTGTTGTGGTTACCGAGATGAATCGAGTCGCTAAATTACACCAGACCAAGCACAATACTCGTTCTCCCACCTCCAAGAGGGAAGTGAGAGTGGAGGTAAAGAACGAGTAAAAAGTCTAAGTGAAAGTTCTAGAATATATGGCAAAGTAAGTAAATGTCAATGGTACTATTTGATACTAACTGTCGGGCCTTTCCGTAGTTAGATGTTTCATTTGCCTGCTCACGGTACCGAGCAAGGTCACCCAAAAACAGGTATATCTTCTGTGCTACTAGTATGGCAACTGCCATTACAGTTGTCAGTTTGCTTGTATTGTCTGCTCCAGATAGAAAATCATCCAAACGGAATCCATACTTATCTTGCAACTTTACAAGCAGTGATTCAAAAAACTGAGTACCCTTAAAAAGAAAAGGAAGGATAAGAATAAAGTAAATACAATTAAGATGATAAGTTTTGTAGAAGGAGGGCTTACATCATCAATAATCTGAAGCAACAGCTTTTTCTGATGATCAGCATCTGGGCCACCTTCAGAAACCCCCTTTCTTAAGAGCTCAATCAAATTGTGGAACAAAATTTTCCAAAGCTGTTGGTCTGCATTTTCTTTGTGCAAAAACTTTATATCAGAGAGTACAAAAGTAACAAATCCATTCTGGATAAATTGCCTGGTTTAACAAAAAAATTGCAACAAGATTAGTTTTAAGGGGTATGAAGAAAAATGCAAAAGTTTTACAGCGATTGATAATAACAAGATCCTAAACATACCTTATGTATTCAACTCTTCTCCAAAACTCAAGGTACCTGCCCGAACTTATAATTGTATGCAACTCCAGGTCAGCCTTTTCAATATCAAGTATGAGATGTGGTTGACTTGAAGCCCTGAAGTTGTCACTGTATGGGTCATACCATGCAGGTCGAGAGGGACCAAATTGGTTTGCAACTATTGAGCCAGTTGGCTGCAGGTGATGTGTAGGGAACATAGTTGATGACTCAAATCTTTGTTGATATGGCATGGTCTGTGGACTCTGAGACCAGTCATCACTAGAAACGAAAACCACATTTCAGGGCACGGCATTGTGAGTCTGAAATTTCAATAATATGACTATGTAACATACCTGGGGCCATTGGAGCTTGGTGGACCCGACGAAGCACGAACACTTGGATTTACCACAATAATTGGCTTACTGGGATTGTTGTGATCGTAGAGATGCCTCTGAGACAAATTGCTAGCAGGTGGAGGAGCAGAAGCAGCCGATGGTTGTTCTTGGGGAAGAACGAGGATGCCAGGAGCCTAGAAGAAGCGACTTGTGAGTACGGATAGACAGGAGAATCGGCAAAGTTTCAGTAAATAGATCAGGGAAACTACCCTACCTTTTGAGGGGGTGGCGACTGCTTGCTCGCCGGGGGTCGCCTCCAGTCGTCGTCAATGCCCTCCCTGTCCCGGTTGCGCCACTCCAGGCCCATCCGCTCGCGCCGGCTGCCGCCCATGCCGCCGCCCATGGGACCGCCCATGTTCTCGCGGCTGTGGTCACGCCGGTCTCGGCCGCCGCTGTGGTCTCGGCCGCTGTTGCGGCGGTGCCGGCCTCGGTCCCTCTCGTGGCTGTGGTCCCGGTGGTCGCGGCCGCTGTTGCGGCGGTTGCGCCCGCGGTCCCTCTCGTGGCTGTGGTCCCGGCCACTGTGGCGACGGCCTCCCCGGTCGCCGCTGTGGTCTCGGCCGCTATTCCTGCGGTTCCTTCCTCCGCCGGCCGCTGGAGGCACAGGAGCAGGCGGGGCTCCAGGGGCAGTTGCAGGGCCTCGCTCGCTGCTATGATCTCGACCGCTCGTCCTCCTGTGACGCCCTCCATGGCCTCCGTGGGAGTCAGGCCCGTTCCGCTTGCCATGGCCGTGGCCGTCGTGGGGGCTTGGGTCGCGGCGAAGCTCGGCGCTGTGGTCACTTGGGCCCACGCCAGGGCCAGGGCCGTGGCCAGGCGGGCGCCATCCCCGCTCCTGACTGTGGTCTCTCAGGCCGCGCTCCTTGCTGTGGTCCCTCCTCCAGCCGGGTCCGCCGGGAACTCCAGGCCCTCCGGCTCCTGCAGGCCTCCCAGGCCCTCCAGGTTGGTCCCGCCAGACTCGGTCGTGGCTTCGATCCCGGCGCCAAGGCCCGCCCGGACGCTCCACACTGTGATCGCGGCTGCCGCCCCTGCAGAAATAAAGACACGTGTTTAGACTTTTGTACTTCGACGAGTCGACGGGCTAAGCCAACGGATGGGCATGCATAGCTTTACGTTACCTGCTGGGAGGACGATCGGCGTTTGCTTCATGAGGCCTCCCTTGCCCATGTCTTTCGCCACTAGCACTGCAGAGCACATTAAAAAAAAAAAAACACTACATAAAACAACTGTGTGAATACGTGAGTGATACTATTCTAATTTTGTAATGCAAATCCAAAACTATTGAGTGCAAGCCTGGCCCAAAATAAAATGCCATGAGATCAGCAAGCTACAGGCAGATAGTGGAAATCAGAAAAAAAGATAAAAAGCAAAATAAAAAACTCATAGCATAATCATAAAAGAGGAAAATTATCGGCCCCACGATTTGAAAAACTACTCTCTAGGTAACTTAATTTAAGAAAAAAGACTGAGGGAGGAGCAGGAAGAGCAAAAATACAAAAATATGAAGACTGCAAACTAACACTAATACTACAGTATTTTTTAGAAGACCACATTTAGTTCTCCAGAGACTAGTTGTGATACCCGTGCACATCAAAACATCAGACATTTAAGACGGAAAAAAATCAATCCCCCATTTATTTTAATTCTACAGTCAATTACATTATTAACAGATGAAGATGAATGTAGGGTGCAGTTTTCCCCCAAAACAAACGAGTGTAAAACAGTTATACTTCTTCAATGTAATGCACTAACCACAGCCTTTCGTGTATGATACAAAAAGAGACAGCACAGTAGTACAGAACAATTCACAAGCAATTCATGATGCCACATATCAAGTAAGGGGTACTGAATTTATATTATTTTAATTTGTTGAATTTATCAGAAAAAATAGGCAAAATCTATGCATTACTTAAGTGTTGTGTTTAGGGATTGGGACTGAAGTGTATCAAGATTTAGATTATATTAAGCTAGGGCTAGAAAAAAGGTTTCAGTGGTGGTTTTGAAGTGACCACAAAATGCTTTCAGGTGCAGTACTTGAATTCCCAAATTTAAAAGCAATCACGTTTTAAGTAGAGAAACCTAAAGCAACAGACAACTGAGTTTGTAGTCATCATGGCCATAGCACAGCACTTAGAAGCAACAAACACAATTCTGATTAGTGGAACACTCATGCTCAAGTGACCACAATTAATTGAAGTGAAATAAAGCATTTAGGGGCAAAGGAAAGTTGGCTTGAGTGCACAACTCCACATTATACACATATGCCAAAGTGAAATAATCTGCCATGCTGTTACTTGCCCATCATTTCCTCCTCGTTTATCCTTATTCTTTTTCCTGAAAGGCAGTAACATACAGCATTATAGCCAGCTCAGTTGCTTCCAAGGAAGATGAGGTGCAGAAAAGTTAAATGGCTTGTGTATAGTGAAGTTACATATTTGATTTAGCATAATTGTTAATATCTCATACAATTTTACCATTTTGTTTCACTTATAAACTTGAGATGTGTCATATTTAATTTGCCATTTGTGCTGTGTGTAGTTGTAATATATTAAAAACTGTACAGTCAATTGAAGGATCCTTTGACTGTAGGTACCAGTTGTTCCAAAAAACCAAATGCAGTCCTTGCAGTTCACATCAAAACATCCTGTCAAAAGTAAGTAAACATGCTTCAACCATTACCTTCGGCGCGGCTTTTTCCACTGAGTTGTTGGTAGAGGCTTCTTCCACTGCACGTTGTCAGTTGTCCTGGAGACTGGTGAGGAACTGCGAGTGTGAGCCTCTGATCCAGCACAGGCCTCTAAGCGCTCCGATCGCTCGACTTCTTCGCACCAATCCTGATGCGGGACAGCAAAATCATCATGTTGAGGAACAGTTCCAAACTTGTGTTGAGCCTGTTGACTGGTTCGCTGAGAGGTATCTTGGGAGTATTTTAAATTGCTATCTACTCGGTGCTCTGCTAGCTGCTCCGCACGTTCTACCTCCTCGTTCCAATCCTGACATGGAATTGACAAAAAGTCTAATGAACTTGGAGGCCTAGAGGTGGATGCTTGTTGTTGCTCTGACCGCTCTACCTCTTCATTCCAATCCTGTTACACAACAAGCATATTTTATCAAACAAAGTTTTAATAAGAGTATACAAGCAAAAGCAATAATGTTAGAAAAAGAGATTAGGCAACAGTCTACATAAAGATAAATGTGTGAGGAACTTGCTCAAAAATAGTTTTATTATTTAAGACTGAGATAAATCAAAATAGAAGATTGTTAGTGAAGATAATAAGTGACGCAAAAGTACTCACAGTTATTTCAGGAACAATTAGATCTATTGTATCAATTGGCTTCTGTTGACATGCGGCATTTAAGGCTTTGAAAGGTTCCTGCCCTGGACTGATGGGAGTTGTATTCCCTGAGTTAGTAGGAGTTAGACGGCCTGTTGGTGTGAGACGTCCAGTAGGGGTTAGACGACCTGTGGGAGTTCGACGTCCTCCACTATTTCTATCTCCATGAAGACTACCACCACTAGTTCTCCTGCAAATTCAATCACAAACAAAACTTGAGTCAGGAGAAGAAGAAATGAAAATCAAAGATTATTGAACTTATTCTGACCTTCTTAATGGTCCAGGGTTGGGTAGTGGTTGATTCCCATAAGAATGGCTAAGTGAAGGCCCACCAATATTGCCAGCTGATAAAGATGGAGCAGAGGTTTGTTTGTTGGACCATTCTTGTCGAGAGGAGGGATGAGCAAGACTTTCTACACTTGATGAAACAGAATGGGAGTCAAGGCCCCCAGGTTGGTTGAACCTTCTAGCAGCAGCAGCACGTTCCATTTCTATTTCCTCAGGTCGCAGTCTGCCACGGCCTTTGGGTCGGGTTCCAGGTAGAGTATTGGCCCATTGGTCATGAGACTGAGCTGGAGGTAATGACTGGGGTGGTTGACTAAAAACAGTAGTTGGCGGCAGTGACATAGCAGGTAGTGAATTATATTGTCCTGAGTAATTGTTCTCACTACTGTGAGAACTATGAGAACCCTGAAAAGTGACTGTACTTCCATCCCATGCCTCCTCTGATGTTGTTCCAATAAATCTTCCTTCTATTGAGAGTTGGGGACCTGCATTTTCTCTGCTGAAAGCAGGTGGGTCCTTCACCCCATTTTCTAATGGTTTCTTTCTAAATCGAGGAGGAACATCAGCTTCCTTGTGTCTAGGCATTGACTTATTACTAGGCCCGGAATATGATGCCATATCCTTTCCACTTCCTCTTCGTCCAGATGGAGGCTTGGCTTGAACTTTATCTGCATTCCAACTCGTGGGTTCAACACTCCGGGCATCTCTTGATCTGGAGTTCTCTGCATTGGAACCACGTGGTTCTGATCCTAGACGGACATTCCTGTTGGAAGGCATATCAGCATGCCACGATTGTGTTAAAGTGGCATCATCAAGTCTATGTCCATCTCTCTCAAGTTGCCCACTCCTGTTTGGTTCAATCATGGATTTGGACATTGGATCAGAAAGATGACCAGGTCTCTTTGAAGGATCAGATCTGTTATCTTGCCAATGAGAAAGTCTCATGTTCACGCTTTCTGCAGCAGATCTGCTATTAGATCTGGAAGACTCTAGTTTAACATCAAGACTTGGTCTGCCTCCAGAATGCAGTTGAATGTCATTCCTAGCATCATGGTTTTGTTTGCTGTGAGATCTACTAGAGTCTATTCTGTTTCCAACTGAACTGTTTTGACGATTGGGTGCTTCATTCTGGCTGCGGCTTACAGGGTCATGCTTGTTGGAGGTGGTTCCCTCCTCACCCCTTTCACTGTTCTCATTTCTTTTCCCTTTTGGTTTCTTTTTCTTTGATTTCCTTTTTCGGCCATCTCTACTTCCTTGAGAATTTCCAGCTTTGGAGTCATCTTCAGCACAATATGATGTACTGTCATCATCTGTCCACAATTCCTCTTTAAGATGATTATTTACTTTGTTGGCAGCTTCTCGATTCGCCATTGATTGTGCTACAGGTTTCGGGATATAAATTTGTTGTTCAGGTTTCTTTACTTTCTTTGTTATGTCATTCTGAGAAGCCTGTGTTGAGCCATTATTTTCTCCCTTAGGGGCTTCATGGCCACTTTGTTGGTTATCATCTCTTTTTATTGTAACCTGAGCTAGTCTTTCAGTTAACTTTGACACTGTGGCCTCTTTGTTATCTCTGGGATTTCGGGTATCTGATTTCTCAGATCTACCTGAACGTGATCTACCTGAGTGGCCAGATTTTCGCCCATAACCACCTCTTGAATGAGATCCATGGCTGGGTCCATTTTGGGTTCCTTCACTTGGAGGATCTTGATTTCTCTTATCATTAGAGGCAGAGTAAAGATTGCTGTTGCTATTTGACATGTTGTCTTCAAGTTCGCCTCGCGGAGACTTGGGGTACAGACCACCACCTGGGCGGTACAATTCAGCTCCTCTTTTGCTTCCTCCAGAACTCAGTCCTCTTCTGCTTGCTTCTAATTTCATATCACCATCATCTGAAACAAAGGAATACCCCAAAGTGACACTTCCATCCAAGATCAAAAGTATTTTAAAAACATTCGCAGCTTAACTTTGCACTATTCAGTTAAAATCTACTTTTTTGGTGCTGGCAAATAGGCCCTGTAATGTTATCTAAATGCCCGCACTTACAGATGAGAACACATCAAAATTAACATATTCAGATTTCTAGAACACTTTTATTCTAGTAGTTTTGAATTTAAATGGATGCATCCAAAAATTAAAACTGTATGGGAGTAAAATCAACAGAAAACCTAAACAATTTATCAACAATATGCAGTCGATGATGAAATTTTTTAAAACAGACCAATGGAAACCAATGTTGAATATTATAAAAGATTTGTAACACTTTTAACATTTTACAGTAGAAAGATAGATATTTTGTTTCTTGGCGGCTAGGAATATAATTTTATCAACTAGAGAAACAAAACAAAACAACAGAGATGGGACTAAACTATGAACACAAAGTGTATAACCTTCAAAACAAATACAGGGTATTGATAAAAAAAAACAAGTAACCAGTTCTGTCCTATGATGAAGTTGATTTAAAACAAACCGTAATCTTCTATAGAATAGTTTGGACTTAACCTACATGAAAAGATTAAAATTCAAAATTAAAAGAGATGAGGAAACACACTGCGAGCACCCGGACGAATGCAGGGAAGCAGTCAGGAGACAAAAAAGTTAAAAGGGATAACAGACTGTGACAAAGTAAACTTGTAACATTAGTTTCCCCATAGACGTTGTGGTGTGCGTTGAAAACAAGCTTCCAAAACACAGACAAACGGACGGCCTTGGTTAGGCCATCAACGAAGTGTTCACATTGAATATGATCACAATCTAAAAATAGTGTTCCCGAGCAATGGACATGGACCATGTACTTGTTTTAAATTTAAAGTAGTCATATGTAGTCAGAACATGATGCATGAGGTAGGAAGCAGTCACCCATTGTTAGTCAAAGACATTTACCACGATACATGTTTCTCCATTTTTCACGTTTTGCATCTTCGCTCTCCGCCATGATGCTCCATACAATCTGCTTTGCAGAGTTCATACGATTTGCGAGGGTTATTGGGTGCCCCCCCACCAAACCGCAATAGTTCTCTGTCCCCTCCTAGATAGCGCTAGCTGCCATATCCGTGATGCAATAGTGCGTTTTCATTTGAACTATTTGAACTTACATAGTTTGTTTTGTAATTTCAGTCACCAACTTGTTATTAATTCGTAAAGTGTGTCTATCAACAAATTTTAACATTCATGGGCATGATTCAATTCTTTGAATATTGGCGGGAGAGTTGATAGGTATATTCATATGCAGATTGCGAATTATAAGGTATGACAAATAATTTGAAAAAATAGAACTGGAAAGGAAAAAAATTGGTATTTTCCTTCAAGTTCATATTCTGTATCTATTATTAATAAAATGGCACGTCAAGTACATTACCGACTTGTTCATTGTCAGCAGTTAGTGAAATTTTTTTCTTCGTCAACAGTTAGTGTAATTTATTCTTCATAATGATGTAGAATTGAGCTACGCCAGTTCTAAAGTTCTAAGTTTCAAATATTTTAATAATAGGAATGACACTCAGTAATTTTGTCTTAAAAATGTTTTTATTCCATTCTGTAAAAAGAAAAGGAAGGTGTTCTTTTGTAAACTTTATTTTAGTACAAGAGTGCATGCTACCTGAGGAGCCAAGGGGCAAACGAAACAGACCGAAGAGATAAACATTGTTCAGAAGTTCAAAAAAATTAAATAATAAAATAACCAGAGACACATGTTAATCTGTTCTCAAAAAAACAATTCAGGATATCAGTTAAAGTGAGACTGTGGACTTAAGACACCTCTCTCGAAAATATGGGTGGGTAGATCTCTTTTTGGTTTTAGAAGCACCAAAATAAGAGGAAATAGATGGAGTATTGCCCGATGCTTCATCCTCTTCTTCCTCCCTGTTAAACAATTTCAATCATTAAAATGCCCAATGCTACTAAAGTCAAGTATTGAATAAATTTTTAAATTCTAGTCACAAAATTACCATTCAACAGGCGCAGCTGACTCTTGTAAGATTTTATCTGCAGTTGACCAGCTCATCCGAACCATTTGAGGAAATCCAAATACATGGTCAATATTTTTTTGGAGAAATTTTTTTGTAACTGGATCTAAGAAGGAAAATTTCAAAAGATAACTGCAAAATATAAGCAAGGGAGAAAATGAAGAATTTGTTCAATAATCACCATTTGGATAACCACTACCCCATCCATCTTCTGATTTTTCTACACCATCTTCAAATTTCCAGACCTGCAATGCTCGATCTCGAGCTACTTTTGCACAGATACTGGCTGCACTCACACAAGGATATGTGGCGTCAGCTTTGCTAGCAACTGTAATTTTAAACTCTGGGAAGATTTTTGAAAGTTTTTCCTTTAAGTATGGACGAGAAGGTAGAGGTAAAATTAATAAACAGCTATTGACAGAATAGATAGAGAGCAAACAGCTTTAATAAAAAAAAAAAACACACCTGATACTTTTCTGCTGGTCCTACAGTATCCACAAAAACCTCTGCTATGTTGACTCCATCATCAACAGCTTTCTTGATTAGTCCTATGGCAGAATCATGAGATACTTGGTTCAGAGAGTACTTTTGCCTTGAACAATAAAATGTTGGTCAGGTTTGATATTGTAAAATTCAGAAAACTAGAGTAACAGTAATGGTTCAATCTATTACATTTACCTTCTTAACATGCTGTTGCAAATACTGTTGGGAGAAATCACCTCAACAGACCAGCCAACGTAATCTTTTCCCTCACATAACTTCCCAAATAGCTCTTCTCGTTTCTCTTCGGTTAAAACTTTTGAGTCTGCGCAGCCCAATTTTTTGAGACTAGCTGATTTATCCAAAGGACAATAAGCAACTCCATAAACCATAGGACCTGATAAAAAAAGACAGTGTGAACAGGGCGTTCAAAAATGCGGTAATGGAACTGGAACCTAACTTCGAATCGTGCTGTGAATGATAAAGAGACTAACCTAATACCGGTCCTCTCCCAGCTTCGTCAACTCCTAAACAGCATTTCTCAGTTTTACATATGGCAGGAATATCGGATGACAAAATGACATTAGACGAGTTATCTCTTTCGGAAAAGTACTTTCCTAGATGTTCAGCGCAATTAACACTAGAGTCCTCCATCACGCTAAGATTTCACCGGTACGTCAGTAAATAAGCGAGAGAGGAGCAAGCAGACGACAAAGTCTTTTACCCGCCTTTTCAACATGAATACGGGACTACAACATTTGAACATGAAATGGCCACCAACCCTGTTGTTTTCCCGTTTATCAAAGCTCATTATACATATTTTTAATCTTTTGAAAAAACATTAACAATCAAGGGAATGTGCAATGTGTTTGAAGTCGAGCTTAGACATCATGGATGAAGGAAAATAGAATGAACTATTTACTAGCTGGTTGCAGAAACTGCCGAAGGAAGTTTACCACGTGATGTTTACTCGTAGCAACGGTGTGTTGTGTTGTGGTTTCTTGGTTGCTAGGGGCTGCAGCAGTTTATATTGTGGTGAATGGCTTTGAACATCAACAGCGCTCCTGCAGCTGACATTCCAAAGGCTATCTCCCTAATTCACAAAACAAGAATGTCGAGAAGTAGGGTAAGTTACTATTCTTCTTCTTCTTATTATTATTTTATTTCACTTTTTCTTACAAAACTAGAGTACAGGTACTACACGTATAAGAAAAGACAGTCAAGGCTACAAAGAATTATCAGAGTTCCAGTTATAGAATTCCTCCATTGAGTAAAACACAGAATCAATTAAAAACTTTTTTAGTTTTCTTTTAAAAGATAAAATTTCTTTTGTTTCTAAAATACAAGAGGGTAAAGTATTGTAAATAGTGATGAGTTTGAATTTAGTGGTGTTGGCTAAGTTGTTTCCGCGATTGACATTTGTTTTGTTCCGGGTATTGTAAGAATGTCTACTGCTAGTTGTTTCAAGACTTAATTTCTCTTTGACATAGATAGCGGCAAAATAAATATATAGTGAAGTTAGAGTTAGGATGTTATCATTTTTGAACAGGTTCCTACAAGAGACAGTCTTATCCTTTACGTTATTGAGCATTCTAATGGCTCTTCTTACTGTAAATTTAAAACTCAATTTTAGTTTATTATTGTTCAGTAATAAATTTACAAATTTAAATTGTTATTATGTATCTGCTCAAATAACTAAGTCAAATTATTCTACAGGCACCACTCTTAACTAAGGAGGTGTCAAAAAATGTCACGGATAAAAGCAGATCATCGTCAACAGCTCGACGCGAGACTGCTATTTCAAGGAATAAGCTTAAAGAAAGTGAAAACAATGAAGACCCTACTACTGCCACAGAACATAGACTGAAATCAAAGAAAAAGACTACTGACTCTGTCTCACAGAAGAAGCTAAGAGTGTCTGACAAGGGACAAGGAGAAATATCAACTCAAATGGAGACTATTTTAACAAAAACATCACAGAGCAGCAAAGCTGCGGCAAAGTCACGTTCTGACACTAACATGACCAGTAGAGTGAAGGATTCAAGCAAGTCTAGTATAACAAAGAAGCCAATACAGGCAATTATTGCAACAACTAGACCTAAACCGATTGAAGCCTCAAAACCTGTTCATCGTAAATCAGGTGATATTGACTGTTAAAATTAGTCTGTATTTTTATTTCATAATTCATTGATTTTTCAATTTGAACTTTTTCTAATCTAAGTAAATACAAATCATTAAGAATGTATGTTTCTTTGCATTTTCAAGAAGAAAGGAAAGGTGCACCCAGTCATGCAACAAAGCAAGTGCAACAATCAAGTGTCCCATCAAAACCATCTACCTCCAAACAACTTCAACCAGATAAACCTAGTAAGAACAGTGGCTCAGAGAAAATGAAACCACAAGACTCCATTTCAAACAGAAATGTTGGAGAGGGGAACAGATTAAATAGAGAACGTACAAAGACTCGCACACTTGATCCAGGAAATTCTCAGCTGTTAACAACTTTACAGCATGCTGCCCAACAGCTACCTGCAGACATTGACCCTGAATCCACAGATGACAAAGAAAATGATTATGAAGATGATTTTGAGGTAAAATTATTGCGGGAAAGTGTATTTAAATTTCTTTTGTCATGCTTGTTATACCGTTGGATTTGTTCTTACAGGACTATGAGTCAGATTTTGAAGAGGCACCTAGTTTAGAGGCTGACTCTGAGGACACAGAAGAAGATATAAGTAAAACAGCAACTGACAAAGATGATGATGATGATGACAAAGAAAATTATGATTATGGAGACTCATCTTCTTCTTTAAGCGATATGCAAATCAACAAAGACCTACCTACTTCCCTCAATGGAAAAGTAGGAATGGAAGAGAAGAAAATGGATTCTGGGCATTATGACATGCCTGAAGAAGGCAAAAATATAGGAAAAGTCATGAGCACCCTTGTAGAAGTTCCTAATCATGTTTCAAAAACAAAACTACTGGGTGACTTTAGGTTGGTGAAATTAATTCACAAATTGCTTATTTTTGTAAAAATGTTAGTACCTAGTTGTCATTTTTCTATCCTTTCAGCACTTTAATACCCTTGGTCACTTTACTAAACTTTGAGTTTGCAAGAGTGAATATTGAAAATGCCCCTCACAAATTGGCTGTGATAGGAATGCATCCATTTTTTTTTTTCTGACCCTATGGCTGATAGATATTCTACTCCCTGAAGACAAGGTGAAGATTTACATATTCATCCTCCTCCTCCTCTTGCATTGAATCTTTACCGATGTTCCTATTTGGTGACATTTTACATAGAAGATAATAATATTTCTTAAATTTCAACACTGCACTTTCGGCTGTACACTTCTTGTCATTGAGGAGAGAGATTTCATTTTTAGATGCCTTAATAAACTTTTCCTTTCTTTTTTCTTTTTTACAGCCTACCTATAGAAACCTCTCAACAAACATATGGTTATGAAGTGAGAGCTATTAATTTTGCAAAGGCAAAACAAAGACAGCAAGAGAGAAAGGTATAAATGATTTTGCACTCTTTACTTTACAACAGGTGCCACCTTAAAAGTTTTCAATAATCCCCAATTTTTCATAAAACTACAGGCTTCAAGCAAATTAAAACAGAGAGGGGAGATTTTGCTCAATATGATACGCTTGGATTTTGTCAGTTTACCCTTATATGATATGGCACCCGTCCCATATGAAGTATATATGAGTAGCTATGGGCGGTCAAACACACAACAGGTAAATTTGTAACTGTTGAAACTTTGATTCCATCTTGGACCAATGATGCATTACTAGTATGTTCCTAGACTTACACAATTATTTTCACATGTTTTTGCAGGTCTCAAGTCAAACAAATGAGGATGGCATGACTGAAGAAGTACAAACAGAGGAGATCGCAGTGAAAAACAAATGGACTCAACACCCCCCTGCTCTTATCTGTCCTGATCAGTCATTGAACCACCCTCTGGTAAAGTTTTTCTATATCTTTTGTTTGACACAAGTTAAACTGGAATAATTATTATTGACTACTTTTCCTCTCTTGTAGATCTGTGCTGTGAGTTCTGAGCCATGTGACAGTAGCGATATGGTATTGTGGAAACAAGGATTGAAAGTTAACATGGTGGAGCTAGAAAAATTTCTATTAAATACTGGTCAGGTATGAAGGGTAAAAGAAATTGAATTGGTGTAAGCATAAATTTAAATTAAGATTCAGAGCCATTATTTCTTATCCTTATTTCAGCTAATGCTCAACATATTAGAAGAAACATCGAGTGGAACACAAGGTATCTTGAAAAGCAACAAAGTAGATCTTGGTTTCAGCCAAGGTTTCATTACTTTAGGAACAGATTCTGTACCATTCCTAGAAAATAGAAGGGTGACAAAAATTTGCTTCATTCCTCATCAGCCAAACTCGGTTCTTACAGTTCACCAAAGTAGTAGTGACAAGGTAAAATACCCAGTGATAAAACTTACACTAACATTTCTTGCAATGACTTCCTCCAATTCAAAGGGCCCCTTTCTTCCAGCTCAGTTACAAGGACGACTTACCAGTGCAACTGGTAAAGCGCTGCATACTATGCGTGTGGAGTCTCTTACAACCCTCTCAACCAATTAAAATCCTAGTGTCAAGCTCTGATGTGACTGACTGCACCTTTCATCCGCACCGTTCCAATCTTATTTTTGCAGGACTTGCGGACGGGTAAAATTATCTATGACTTTTTTTTATCATTAGTTTTTTAAAAAATTATATGATTTATAAGCGTCTTGTAACTTGTTTTTTTATTCAACATACATCATTCTTTGTCTTTCTGCAGACTTATTAACGTGTGGGATTTGAAAGAGCAATATTCTTTTCAGAAAGAGATCGCTTTTCACAACTCTGAATGGACTCTGAAATCACCATCCTACACAACTGGTACAGTACTTCCATTCCTAACTTTGTGTATTACTATTTTATTTCTGTCAGAAACCCAAAATCATTTTATTCTTTTCAGCCGACATTTCTGCAGCAAAACATTCCTCGGCCGTTGTTGGCATTAAAGTGTTAGATGATGTGTACTCGACTAGCAGAGGCGCTGACCATTCCCCAACCCAGGTAAAACGCCTGGGGAAACAACACTCCACTCACATCAAGCAGAACAAAAGGCGTCACAGTTTGCCTCTTTTGCAGATTTGCAGCCTAGACGAAGGCGGACTGTGCATCATCTGGACCCTCCTGAGTAGCTCTGCCGGTATGCAGAACGCCGAGGACGTTGGAATTGCGCCCTGGGGCTGCGTCCGTCTGCTCCAGAACGAGTCCTTCTCGCTGGCGCAGCGCGTCGTGGCCGTCACGTGAGTGCGATGGGAACCCTTCCCCTCCGATACGCACCGGGCACCCTCCCTTCACGAAGGTACTCACCTCGCGCGCGTTCCTTCTGCCGCAGGGATGAGGCAGTCGGTCCCAACCTGCAGTTCGCCGACCTCGCCCTGGACAGCGCAGACCCGACGCACCTGCTGGCGGCCGCCAACACGGGGCACGCGGTGCACGGCCTGAGCAGCGGAGGCAGGGCCCACCCCACCGTGTACCCGCCGCACTGGGGTGAGTCTGCTCCGCTCCGCCACGGCCCTAGCCACGGCGAGCGCCCGCGGAAAGCTGGGTAGGCCACCCCGCCGCGCGCCCGCGCGCGCCTCCACACCGGTTGTATACCTCCCAGGGGCTCGGCTACTGCTGCTGCGATTCTATCTGGAGGGAGCGGCCGAGGCAGGGGGAGAAAGGAATCCTAGCTAAACTTGAAAAGACGCAAAACAAACCTGCCCGAGAAAGTACCCCGATCATAGTGTATTCAGCAATAATCATAACTAATACCTAGAAACGTCTTACAGATTGCCTGTCACCTGCCACTTGCATTTGCCCCTGCCCGTTTGGACTTCCCTACTTCTTGGTGGGTGGCCAGTTCCCTAGTTTGCTGCACGGCTGCTTTGCTCCTTTATTTAATCCCACGGATTCCTCCTCTGTGGCGACAGGTGGGCTGCGGGGACGGCACGGTGAGGCTTCACAGCCGACTGACTGCCCGGCCTTTGTTGAGTGTAGCTGGATCTGGTGGAGTGGTTGGGGCAGGCCCAGCCATATCCGTCCTGCAGTGGTCGAACTCCAGGCCATGTATATTCTTTGCTCTAGACTGTGAATCAAGGTACGCCGTAGGAAACTGAAAATATTGAACTGGAGCACTTTGGATTATCCATTACACGCTTTGTTCTGATATTCTATTCAGACTCCATGTTTGGGACTTGGCGTCAAGTGACATGTATCCCATGTTAACAATTCCCTTTAAGGGCAAGTTCATCACTACAATGCAGCTCTCTCCACCTCGGCATACTTCGAAAGCCTGCCCCTATTTGGTATGACCAAGTGGTGCCTTCTGGCTTTGTATTGGTTCCAAACAATTTCTTTGTAACAATAACAGTTTAATTTCTGCTTTGGATTACAGGCTCTTGGTACGTCTTGTGGTAAGTTGAAGGTTCATCTTGTAAAAGAGAATTTCGCATCTACTTCACTAGAGGATACTGCTATAGAGTTGGACAAATTTAAAAGATATGCCTCAATCCTCTAAATGGTCCAACAGGGTTGATAGTAAAAATGACTGTACCTTGTCTGATTTGATTTTAATTAAATGTTTATAAATAGAAATTCACCATTAGTGAGGGTACAATTTATTTCTTCATCCCTTCCTTCTGCTTCTTTTGTTTCTTAGACTCCTCTTCATCAATAGGTGCAGTCTTGACAAAAGGAATAAATTCACGGTATTCTGAGACAGATAAAAACAAAATTAAATAGTAACATTCAAAAATCATATGTTCCGAATCTTAGATAGTGTTGGCTTACGTTCTGGCATGAATGGACGCAGTACTTGAGGAATTGTAATTCCAGTTTCAGTTTGATATGTCTCCATAATAGCACATATCACTCGTGTGACAGCACATGCAGTTGCATTCAACATATGCACATAGTTAGTCTAAAAATAAATAAACATAAACAATAAGATATAAGATATAAGAAATATGCAGAATGGACGAAGTGTAGAGAATAAGAAAGGCTCCGGAACTTGTGCTTACCTGAGCATTCATTTTCTTAGTCTGTCCATATCGGATCTGCAAGCGACGGGACTGATAGTCCAAGCAATTACTGCATGAAACCAACTCACGGAAAGCTCCAGATCCAGGGAACCAAGCTTCCAAGTCTAACTTCTTGGCAGCAGCATTGTTCAAAGCTCCAGATACAATGTTCACAACTCTGTATGCAATGCCAAGATCTTCATAGAATTCTTGAGACATAGTGATCATTTCCTCCATCATATCCCAGGAGGCATTATCAAATGGCGAAGTGAGCACAAATTGTTCAACCTAGAAAATTCAAGAATTAGACTAGTTACAAAAGGGGTTAGATTGGATTTACAACTGAACATTAAGCAGACTGACCTTTTCAAATTGATGCACCCGGAAAATGCCTCTTGTATCCCTACCATGTGATCCAGCTTCTTGTCTAAAGCATGTGGAAATTCCCACATACCTAATAGGCAGAGCGCTCTCTGGAATCCACTCATCTCGATGATACGCAGCAATAGGCTGCTCAGAGGTAGCTATGAGGTACTTCTCTTCAGATGACAGTTCTTCTCCTGCATTTTTGCCACCAACCTTGCCAAAATAAAATTATAAGTCCAAACAAAGATTGTTCAAGGATTTTTCATTCAAAAATATAAATATGTATTTCAGTACCTTATAGAGCTCCTCATCAAACTGAGAAAGTTGGGCAACTTCCTGCATAACCTCCTTACGCATGAAGTATGGAGGGAAGAGAGGCTGATAGCCTTTGGCATGCCACCGCTGAAGAGCACATTGGATCAAAGCGTATTGCATAAATACACATGGACCCTGCAAGAAAAAGAAGATTAAAAGAAGATTCTTGTACTTTGACACCAAAACTGTGGTAACAAACTACCCAAAAAATCAAAATTGGGGATTGAAAATAACATTTAGGCATACCTTTAGAAAGTATCCACGACCACCACCAACAACAGCACCTTTTTCAGATTCTAAACCATCAATCATATAAACCAAATCATAATGTGAGTACTTTTTGCGAATAGTCACATCACCAGATGTTCTCTCTACAGCATTTTCATCCTGTAAAAAACAAAGATAAATATAGTAATGCAACATTATGATAAAAAGTTCATGACTCATGAGTACAAGGTCACTCCTGACAGATAACTTACTTCATTATTGCTGATTGGTACAGATGAATGAAGCTGATTTCCAATTTCTTTTAGAGCTTTGTTACGGGTGTTTTCAGCCAGCAACATACTCTCGTCATTCTCTTTCACAGCCTCATCTATGCGAATACGAAGTTCTTTAATGTCAGAGACTGATAACTGCTCCAGCTGTTCTTGAGTTAGAGCAAAAACATCTAGCCCAGAGGCACTGATGGTTGAGGGAGCATCAGCTGTTTTGGCCTTAAAAAATAAATAAAATCAACCCATTAACTTTCATGAAGGAATTGAATCACAAATCTACACAAACTACTGGTGTTAAAAATCACGATGCAATGAAACAAAAAACTGAAATCTAACAGATTTAATCACAAAGAGGATGCAATGAGGTTTTAGTAATTCTAACAAAACCAGTGCACTAGCAATGAAATTTAGCTGCAAATGATGTGGGGTAAATTTCAATGAATGGATCAATGCAAAAAATAAAAATAACTGGGGAGCAAAAGCTTGATAGATTTATAAGCAAATGCTAAAAACTTCTAACTATGAAAAGTGCAGGAAGGCAATACCGCCTCACCTGAGGGAAACTTTTTCTTTGATCTCCAAAGCTATCAATGTGTTTAAACCATCGTAAACAATTAGGTAAACTGTTAGGAGGTGGACACTTGAGAGCCTCGTATGCTTTGGTGTCTTCTTGAGTTGCAATGAAACCACCTATGTAGCTGTAGTCCATTAGATGGACATTAAGTTTAACAAGATTGGGCATACACTCAAGTTCTTTTAAATTAATAGATGTATCATCAATAATTAGGGTGGAAAGATCTACATTTAACTGATTCTTAAGATTTTTAACTTCACCTTTCTGCAAAGGTATTATAAAGGTTTGTTATTCCAATGTACCCCAACCAAATTGAATGATGAAAGATTCATGTGTATTACCTTCATCTTAGCACCAATAACTTTACTGCACAGATTCTTCGTTTTATTAAGGGTGTCAGCTCGATGGCGGTCTGAAAACAAATCAAGATAACACTAGCTTTAACAACTGACTACAATTTGCAACCAAATACTTATACAATGCAAGGCGACAATGAATGACAGCGAAGGGAGCAACACATATGTCAAACGATACATTGATTGGAATAAAAGGGTCTAAGCAGTTAAAGTGGCACACTAATTGATAGCCATGTATTTTACTAATACAAATGAAAAAAACAAGTTGATATAAGTTCAATAGGAATTTATCGACAGAATTGGTAAGTAGGTAAATAGGTTATGTGACCGGCACATCAACCACCAGCTATGCCATTTAAATAAAGAGGACAACACTCGGAATGAAAAAGCTTGACTTAAACATCAACAACCTTTCTCATTAGTTCTATTCTCCAGTTATTCGCCCATTGTATTCAATGAAAACTAAAAAAAACTACTTACATTGTCTCCACAATGCATCGTTTTCCACAACATCGTCAACCAGTTTCACACTTTTGAAACGCTTTTCTTGAAGCTGTCGGATTTTGTTCGGATCTCCCCCCTTCTCTTCACGAAAAAGTTCGATATCCAGAACCATGGTGACCTGTTGATATCTACACCACCTGTCAAAAATCACCGGGAATTAAACTGTCTCCTCCCGTGAGAACTGAAGTACGGGGTAGCGAAACACCAAAAGACTTCACAACCTCGCAGGCACGCAGACGACACGACACGCCAACCGGACACAAACAGTGTGTCAAACCTGACAACTGCTCCAACCACTAGGTTGAGATCACCAACAGATTTTTCAAGGATTTTACTGTAAATGTGTACTGTTTTCATTTTTTTTTCCAGAGTAGAGAAAATTCTATACGTCCACTGCAGGCGTGAATTTCTAAATGCGTTATAAATCTTGTTCCTCCGTAGTGTAAATAACTAGTCAGTGCGAATGAACAGTGTCAGATAAGTTGCCTAACTACCCGGCGTCGTCCTGGGGCAGGAAAACCGATGACCACATAGTGGATGCAACCAGTTTCCCCTCACTCCCTCTCCCAACGGGGGTTTGTTTTTACAACAGTCAAGTTCCAAAATAAATTTCTCACAAAATAATTTTTTTACAGTACATATCTTAAAAAAATAATTAAAAAATACATATTTGACTTGGAATGGGATATGGAAAACAATTGGGGCAAAAAGTATTGAGATAGGTAATGTTTTGGTCACTGTATATTTTTACTTGTAATCAAATAACAAAATTACTCTCTAATTAGTGCAGAAATGTCACAGCCGTCCAGAAACAACGAATTACATGTAAGAAATTCAATAAGCAAAATAAGGCTACTTTACAACAACAACAAAATTGCAATCCACAAGATCAAAGGATGTGTATATACTATAAAATGCTTCCATCTGCCTTTAATGTGGCCAAGTCCACCTGACCTACAGAACAAAGACAAACCAAGGCAGCACCTTGCTCTGCCCATCGCTTGTTTTTCTCCCTGAAACAAAGAAAATTTATAATTATTTAAACTACTATTTAGTGGCTGTGGGGCATCCATGTATAAATTTACAATTAAAACTCACCACATAGAAGAAGTGTACTGTTTTCCACTCAAAGTCAAAACCGACTGAAAAAGTTTTCCTTCCTGGACTGTTTTATAAACAGGCATTCCAAGTTTTTGACTTCGAGACCAAGCCAGCACCCTTGTTTTTGGTAGATCATTGTCTGAGGGATAAAGACTGCGAAGATATGCTACCTTCATTGTAACAATATCATCTGGAGGACACTGAAAATGCAGAGGATGACATGCACTTAGACTTCATTAAAAAGTACAGCTTAAAAATTTAGGATAAGATTGTACAAATTACTAACATGATCATCAAACTTCATTTTTTTTAAAGGGCTTTGTATGTCACTTGACTCTTGGCGGAGAACTTGGGGACAAACTTCTCTCCTGCCAAGTAAACCAGAAGCCTTAAATTCAAGTTGTCTCTTTCGGCAATAATCTCCTAGGTCCCAAATTGCACTGTAAGGTATAAAATAAAATGGAATATAGAAGTACCAGTTAGTAAAAAATTTAGACAAAAAAATGGCATCACTGTCATCTGTTTACCAGATTTGCTCTAGTGTTTGTGCCTCTAAAAATAACTTTCCACGAGGTGTTTCTTGAAGTTCTCGTAACATATTCTGTACACAGTACTTAGTATTGGAGCCATTGTTATCAAAATCCACGGAAAGCACAAGATATTTTTTGATGACCTCATCAAGAGGAAGACGCCCATTTCTCCTAAATATAGACACATTCCATTCTGCTGCTCTTGCTATCATGACGCTTGAGCATCCCGTCTCAGTACAAAATTTGCCAATATCTTCAAAGCATTCAATTTCCTTTGATCCCCCACTAGAAAAGAAAAGAAAACATCCAGTTGGATATAACAGACTTGAAAGAAGTGAATGATTCACCGAATACATACTTTGCTATAACTGGTATGCTGAGAGCCTTTGCAACAGCTTTGATATAATGGTTCCTATTGGAATGTTGCGGCCTTTCATCCCGGGTACGACCATGAACACCAATTGCAGAAATACCAGTCTCTGCCAGAGATTGGCACACGGCTACTGTTGCATCAATATCAGATAGAACTCTAACTTTGCAAGTCACAGGACAACGTAAGCCATTTACTAATGTCCGAAGTATGTTCTTAGCTTTTGCTAGGTCAGCCATAAGAGCAACTCCCATGCCACCTTTTACAGAAAATTCTTTAGGGCATCCCATATTGATGTCAATTCCAGCTACATCATTTTCCCTGTACCATAGGGATCAAATATTAGGTGAGATACACAAACTAGATGGTTCATCAATAAATGGCAATACTTACACTAATTTTCCGGCCTTAAGGGCCCGTTGTGGATCAGATGTTCCCATTTGGAGGACCACTTGTTCTCGTTCTCGTGCACAAGTCCTAAACACAATTGTACCATCTGTTTCATCAACAAAGTCGATTGTCCCTAAGACCTCTGCAAGAAAAGAAATTGACTAATAGTTCTTAAATTTTCTTAATCAGGGAATAACACAAACACACACACACAACAAAAAATAAAATAAAATAGGGAAATGTCAACGTACCATTGACCCTTCTGAACGACCTAAGCAACTTCCAGTCAATAAGTTCCTCGGAGTACACAATATCTGCCCCGAACTCTAGGGCAAGAAGACGCATGGGCAAAGTTCCCACCCTTACCATAGGGGCTAGGATTGTCTTTCCCGAATAACTGAGACGGTTCACGTGAGGCCTAACCTCACCAATACCGTTGGCTTTGGCCTCGGCAACATCTTGCAGACGGCCCTCCGCGCTGGGTGCGGAGGGTCCACAGCTGTCAACATTCTTCTCACCCGATCCTGTGGTAGAGGAACCATCCTCAATAGCTGTCATGGCACTTAAATGCCAAATTTAACATAGAAATGCAGTCAATCAGTCAATCTGCTCTAGTTGTTGACACCTCGGCGAAGCACTGCTTTGAATGAAAAGTGCAGAGTATGAAAACTTTAACGTCTAAGCCTATGAGAAACTGTGGAGACAGACGGTGCAGACAAGAAGTGAAGCTGACAAGGGCAAGAAAGTGTTGAAACGTTTTTTGAATTGTTTCTGATTCTTTTGACTTATGTTAAGGTAAGTGCTCTTAATATATAGTAACACAAAAAAAAAGGGTGACCACTTGTAAGTGGAGGGTACTTAAGTAACCCAAATTAGGTTTCATCAGGATTCAGTAAACCTCAATTCACTTAACCTTCCAAATGTTGTGGAGAACTTTCTCTGCTTATTTCTCCTTTCCCAAAGGTATCTATTTTCTTTTCGCACTCGGAATTAGTTATTGTCTTTAGAGCTAAAAGTGTTCCGCTCAGTTTATTAGACTAAGCAGTTCAATGTATTGCTTCCGTTCAGTTTTGTTGCCACTCTCCCCTTCTAAAATTGAGCATGTCGACAAGTTTCTGCAGCCCTCTTCTAGTATTCTTTTTCTTTTGATTCCAGAAACCCATTTTTTTATTTTTTTTATGGTTTTGTTCTTAATGATGTTTTATTTTTTGTGTGTATTATCTTTGTATTGCATCAGTAGGTGGGTAGATTGCCTAATTTGATTGTATAACAGTTCATGCTGGGTAGGGCAGTGTCCTCTCATTTACAGTCCTTCAAAACACTTTCTGCTAGCTGGTTGAAGTTAACTGTCCACTGTAGGTTCATGGCGTAAGGTTTTGTCACCCTACATGAGCTGGAAGGCCAAACGAAGCATCTTGGTCATGATTTCTGATACTGTTATGCTCTCGATGCTCTCATTGTATTTCGCAAGTATATTTTCAAGTTACCTCATACGTGACTGGTTTTTTCTCTGTAAAACCTGTAGCGGATGCCATATCGGTCAGCTTTAGCTGAAAACACAGTTCACAATGTCTTCATTCCGACTCTGACTCGACAATCTTATGCATTTTTGTCACCCTTCACATGGCGAAATTTGCAACGATGTGTCCTACCCCGTCTGTACAACTCTGATCGCCCAGAGTGCAGTCCAGTCCTGGACCTTATGGTCACATTCGGTCCCGCCGCACCTCCTCCGCTGCTGCCACCACCGCTGCTGCACCGACTGGTTAGCCTTGCCCGCGGAGCGGGTCGTGGCGGGGCGTAGCGTGGCGGGGCTCAGCTGTGGCGGCGCGGTGTGGCGCTGCGAGGCTCAGTGCGCCAAGATGCTGTCAGTCGTTGGCCGCCGCTCGGCGTTGACGGGCAGGTCAGACGCGTGGTGTGCTCTCAACAAGTGTGTGTGTGCGCGCGCGCCGTGCTCAACGCCGGCCGCTGAACTCAGGTGAGAAGGAAAGGGAATCAGTTGTATATTTCAGAAAAACGGACTGATAGGAAAAGTCGCATTGTTGCATTCTCCCAAAGAAATTCTGTTTGCAAAACGCTTTTGCATATCGCGAAAGGATTCGGTTGCTTTGCCGACTGCGAATACTTTGCTTTGTTATTTTACGAAGCTGGAAAGAATGCCTTGCAATCGACAAGAAAATGTGGTGAGTGTGTGTGTAGTCTAAAAAGCCGTGCGCTATAGGAGGACATCGACAGTCTGTCCAGGCAACCGGGTAAACACCGCTGGGCTGCCGTTAAGGTGTCACGGCCACCCGACGGGGGGTGCAGGCGCCCCTACACGCGCATTACAATTATTCGACTCCGTATTATTTTATCGTTTTGCCGCACGTGTTTAAACTACGCCGCAATCAGGAGCGCGCGCTTCCTGGCGGCGCGGCCTACGGCGTCGGCCCGTCGGCCCGTCGGCCTCGCTCCCAGGCGTGGCGCGGCGGCGGCGCCGGTGTTTTGCGCGACCTTACTTAACTCTGGTCTTGTCGTCGCTGACCGCCCGTCCTTATCTTGCGGGTGGGTGGGCGTGTCTTGCCGGAGGCACTCAGCCGAGTGCTTGTCGCACTTGGAGGACGCGAAGAAGTCCCCCCCGCCTGGTGGTGGAGGAGCAGCAGGGTCCTTGTTCCACCTGTTTTGTGCTCGGTCGCCCCCTTACCTTACATCACCACGCCGACAATGCCGCGATGACTGTGGTGCCGTGAGCTTTTGCCAGCGTCGGGCGTCGGCTCGGGGAATGCCCCGCCCTCCCCCTCCGTCGTAACAGTAGGGCCCTCAGGCCCAGGACCAGGGAGCGAAGTGTCTAGGGATCGTCCAGAAAGTAAGATTGCGGTTCTATTAATTTTCTGAGATTTATCCGGTCTGGTAGTGGAGCTCGGCGCCTGCGAGACCGGGGATGGGCCACCCCGCAGTACACGCGTGCACTGCGGTGCGGGATGTTGCCTACCTAGCAGGCGCTATGAGAGCTCGCGTCGGCTGAGCAAGGCAAGTTGGTGCGAAACTTATGTGGCAAGTGCGAGTGCCGGCGACTGCTCGGAGCAGCTCCGAGTGCGGCTCTGAGTTCCTTCTATCTCCAAGTCGACACGCCGTGTACGACAGAGGCGGAGCGATCGGAGTGAGCGGACTCCGGAAAAGCCGCGGCGCCACCAGAAAGCTGCAATGAGCTTGCGGGCCCGCTGTCGCCCCGCTCCTCCGCGCTGTGCACCAGACTGAAACGAAACGTACTCTGCTGCTGCTGCAATCCGCGTTATTCCCCACGTACTCTGTACGTACGTACGCAGCGCTGCGGGCGCGCCTATTCGCACGTCACACGTAAGAGTTTATCTAGAAAGTACGTCCCACATTCGCCGTTACACGAAGTTCAGCCTGTGCGACAGTTAGTTTTGGTTCAGTTCGCTGTGCGAGGGTGAGCGCCTACTAGGTAGGCAACATCTTCTCCGCAGTGCATGCGTGTAGTGCAGGGTGGCCTACCCCGAGTCTCGCAGGCGCTCATAGCTCGTGTAATATATCTCGTTATCAGGTTTAAAGTTGGTCTTGTTATTCTCCACAGACGAGTTAAAGAAGGGTTTCGGGGTGGTGCAGTCGTGGTCTCTCTTTGGAACCAAAAATTCCTGGCCAGTGTCGAAGCACCTAGAAAAGTGACAACAATCACCATGTGAGAAAAAATACATCTTTGGTTCTCGCACAACCACACGGAAACGCAAGTGTGTGTATGTAGCACACTTGTTGGTGTGCGAACGCCATTCGTACCCATGGATGAAAGAACTAGTGTTAGAATTTCAAAGGAAAATTCACACCTGTACTCCTTTAAGTGTACGAATGTGCATTCACACACCTACAAAGTGCGATATCCACACACTTGCGTTTCCAGTGCACGTGAAAGTTGCATCTACCAAATTTCTTGGCGGTCTCTGAGCCAACCATACCTTATGGTTTCCGTATCTAATAATCATTTTATTTTTCTTCCACGGGTGAGGTTGGTCCGCATGGCGAGTCCCAGACACGTGTGGAACCGGTGGTGGAGCTTTGGCTGCGGTTTGTCGCGCACGTCGCTCCACTCTGTGGGAACGGAGGCCGCAACGGCGACGAGTAGCACGTGGTGCAGCCCATTAGCGAAAGCCACGGCGTTTCACCGATAGGGGACCGGAAACGAGCTTCCTATTCGGCGGGAACGCATAATACGAATACGTTTGTCTACATTAAAGAAATAAGTAGACATGTTCGTGTCTACATTAGACAAAGTCGACGACACGGTCTATTTGTGTGCCTTTTTTGATGTAGACATTCCATGGCTAACTTACTGTAGCCATAATGCGTGCGTTTCGGTCGATAGAATCAGCTACGAATAAAACCACCAGACCACGCGGGTACCGTCTAATGCTATTTCTATATTTTTTCCACCGATCACGATAGCGTAAAGCCGTTGTGTCATCAAATTACATTTCCCCCCCCTCGATAGTGTAAAGTCGTTGTGTCATCAAACCAGTCCACCCAGGAGTGGCGTTATCCTCTATCGTCTTGAGGTGTCCCAACACCACGCTGTATAGTTTCCAGCCGCGGTTAAGACAACAGTGTAAAATAATATTCCTCGTTCGCCACATTTCACTCGCAAGTTCATGACCAGCTGATGAGATGCAAAGCAGTGCGACTTCTGTTTTCATATCCCCGGCTAGAGAGCATGTTCACTGAAGGAGAGGCAAAGAGAGATGGGGGGGAGTGTGTTAGAAGTCGTTCAACCCCTCGCCGTGCATGACTGCTTATGGGAGGTTAAAACTGGTGTGTCGGTCCGGCTGGCGGCCGGTGGTCATAGTTGTAAAGACCCCCCCCCCCCCATGACTGTTGTTTCTTTATTATTGTTACAGAAGTAGAGCTTTTCTATGCGGCACTTTTACATAGGTCTGACTGGAAGGTTCGCGAGTGAGCGCTGCGCGCCGCGTCGCGCACGTACGGCTCTGGCGAGGGGGACCGCGCAGGGTGACCTTCTGTGTGATTGTCGTTATTCGTTTCGGTAGCCCCCGCGCCCCGCTCTCCTCCTCCCTTTCGCGGCTCGAGTACGGCACGGCGCGAGGGAATCGAATCCTGCTCAAGTCACCGAGCTGGCCCCTCAAGACGAGGCGGGGTTCAGGCAGGCAAGGGGCGCAAACCGGCAGGGGGGGAGGGGTTCAAATCTTGAATGTCACTCTCGCACAGCTGTCGATGCTCTCGAGTTTTGATTAAAATTCGGTACGGCGCGGGTGAGACCTCTCCGCCGCGCCACCCTTTATACACCCCTCGACTCGCCCCCGTCCCGCTCTCCGCGTCGGCTTTTAGTTCGGCTCCGGACCAGTCTTACTTTCACTTTTCCGGCCCGGGCCCGCCGCCGCCCGCCGCCGCCCGCTCGCGGCCGCTGCGCGGTGCGTCGCGCTGGCTGAGCACGTCGGCCTGCGCGGGGGTGAGGGCCCGCGTACAAAACACGTGCAGGCTTGAGTCTCAGTGCCATGCCGGTGTCACAACGTCGGCGCACTCGCTTGTTCACCAAAATAACAAATTCTTTACATTAAAAATTAAAAATTATTCTTGGACGGTCCGGTGAATTAATTAACAGTGCGTAGAAAATCTCACATATGTTTTGTGGTTGGCTCTTGCCGTGCGCGTTTAAGTGATGGAAAATTTGACATTTTTATCTGTCGGGTAGACCTTACTTTTGTTCTTGTTGTTCCATGCTGTCCTGCTCTACCATGTTTATTCAACAAGCACACTGACGCTTATAGGTCGGCTCAGAGCGTAGTTAGTTAGAACGGGTTCGGTTGGGGTCTCCTGTGGGGGGAGTAGGGGCAAGCGAAGGAAACACAGGAAAAGGGGGGCGGGGAAGTTGATGTCTAATGGTTGCGTCAGTATACTGGGTGCACGGTCGTCAAGACGTTCGTACAGGTGGCTCCTCGCGAGGCGTACTTCAATCGTTCAATTTTCCTTTTTTATTTTCTTTCTTTATTTTCCTTATGTATTTTTTCAGATTTTTCTCTCGATTAACTGTTATTTACTTTAAGTGATTTTTTTGGAACGTGTCACTGATTCATTTTTTGGAGCGTTTACACTGAATTTTTAAAAAGATTGTAGTAACCTCTCGGCTCCTCGCCGGTTCGGCAAGCCCGCGGCGCGTCTGTGTTGGGCCCGGGGGGCCTGTTGTGTTGCCTTCCTCGCCCCCGTGAGTCCCCGCCGCGCCGGAGCTGGGTAAAAGGCGGGGCAGGGGGCGGGGCGCGGGGCGGCTTGGTCTGTTGGTGTGATGCAAGTGGGTCGTGGAGCCGAGCTGAGGCCGCCCAGGCATCGCCCGGTCAGCCAGGGCCAGGCACCTGGACCGGGCCATGCCTGGACCCGCTGTCGTCCAGCAGTGCGGTGCACCTGTAGCGACGCTGCATGCGATGCACGTGCAGTTGGAGCTGTCGCCGGGAGAGCTCAAACAACGTACACGCAGAAAAATAAGTTTGCTAATTTAGCTAATTCCAGATAGCTGGTATTGGTTAGCTGTCTAGCTAAGGTGGTTATCTAATTGGCCAATAGTTAACTGTGCATGTGCAGTGCACCCAAATCAAGTTAGCGACACGTGAAGAGGAGTTATCAGAATAAATGAGCGTGGATGCTAATCTTTCTTACAATTTAGCACCTAGTGCTAATTATTGAGCTATACAGCTATACTGTGCATTACCTAGGACAGCTAATGTCCATTAGCAGAGACAGCTAATTCAATGCTGCTGACTTGTTTTAGCTGTATATCTATCATTTTAACTATCCATTTATCGCTACTGGAATTAGCCGTACAGCTAAGTTTTAGCGACACAGTTTCTGCTGCGTGTACTACTCTAAGGTGTCTAAGGCCTGCTGCATCTGTACTTTAGAGCTGTTTTCCCCTTTCGTATTTGACACCTCGGACACGTATTGGACATGCATTTACTCAAGTAATCCAGAATTTAAAAACAG